TTTTTTCTTTTCTTTTTAATTTGTGGATGTACTCCCATCTACCCTGTCCACGGTAAAAGCGGCAACGTCGGCGGCGTCCTGAAGGTGAAAAAATCAAGACTCCACACTCCCAACGTGCACCTCATTCCTGTGCTCTGTTAGGAGGTCTTCTGCACGCACCACCGATGTCGTGGTGATTGGTCTAATGTCAGGTGGTTCACCCGACATGGTAGCGCTCATGGCTGCTCCATCTTTTCTGACATCGGAAGTTGATTGATCCCACAACGTCTTCAGGAGTGGGTTATTGCTTGTCTTATTAGTCGCCGCACCCGTAGTTGGGTTGTTGTTTTCTTTTTTTGCCCCCTCCCCATTTGTCCTCGTTTATTTCTTACTTTTGCCTCGGGCTTTTTGCTTGCTATGGTCTTTACATGTTACAATCATAATCAACATCCTTATCAGATCCCTGCTCAACATTTCATCTCAGTGTTCTAGTCTGATTCCTTTTTCGAGTATCTTGCTGGATGTGAACTAACAGGCAACAGAATAACTGGGGGCAGTCGATTGGCCAAGCGCGCCCCAACTGTTCATTTCCTTTATTGTGCATTCACTGGGCGGGCAGTCGGGTGCTGAGCCGGTGTTTTGACGGGTTCAGCGCAAAGGGTGGTCTCAAAAGGCCAGAGTAAACTATAGAAGGTGCGGCGCACCTGATGCGTCAAAAACCGCCGCCTCCATGACAGAATCATATGATCCCGACGAGGACCGTCGTTCTCCCGGGCTGGAGGCGACCAAGCCGGATTATAAGCCCCATAAAGAACCAACGCCTCCTTTCATAGTCAAGGAGGTCAAGGAGCCCGAGGGCGAATTTAAATATTCTCCAGGCGAGGGAACACCGGACTGTTCCCGTAAGCCTCAATCGAACCTATACAAGTCCGAAACAAGCGAGGGCAACTCGGTGCTGATCAGCTATATAGACCCTAACCGACCTGATATTGCCAATTATGAGAGAGCTGACCCACTTCGCCCGGAGCACTTCCGTGACATTCTCTGTGATGATCTGCTGGAGAAGCCTCTTGTCAAGCCCGAGAAGCCAAAGCTAGAGAGCCCCGTGGTGGAGCCGGCAAAGCCTAGAGAGCCCCAGTCAGAGACAGATGCGAGTGAAGCAGCGAAGCGCGCTCTTGCACTGTTAGATTTACCAAAACCCAGTGATGGACCCTTGGAGCCTCCAGAGATCCCCGTGAAACCACACGTTCCTTCTCCTGACGCGCGCGGTGGCGTTAAAGTGGAAGTGCTGTCTCCAAAAGCCTCCCAGCCACCACCCCCGGCCCTTCCCAGTATCACGGAGAAGAAACCGTTCAGCCCCCCTTTAAGCCAATATGCAATCTCCCTACATCCGTCGCCGGACGTGTTGCCCCCGTTCCACTCACCTGACAACACTACCACCCTCCCCCCTATTCAGACTGCACTACGTGGTATCGCTCATGTTAATGAGCCCGCTGCACGCGTCAATGGCTCCTCTCCGTATTCTCTACCACCCGTCACAGCTAGTTCCCCACCGGGCCTCCGGAGTGAACCTGTCTGGGAGCATCAACGGCCGGGCCATTTTCCACCTCCCCAGATCCCTCCTAGTCCTTACTCGCATTTGTCACCTGCGAGTACCAAAGATTTGTCCGCCGTATCGTCTCCAGCAACGCAGAATTCATACTGGAGATCTCAGAAATCCGACATACCTTATATCACATCCACCTATGACATCGCCCATTGTGACGCTAAAAGCCCTGCCACGAGCTATCCAACCCCCACAGATCAAACTCCGGCGGGGACGTGTGAGCGGACACCATACAACCCAAGTCCACAACACAATGGAGTTGTCACCTCGGGAGCCTACAAATGTCGGCATCCGGGGTGCACCGCTCCGCCTTTCCAAACTCAGTACCTATTAAAGTAGGTCACGCCCTCATGCATGAGTCTAGTCCTCTGTTGGGTGTTTTCAGAGCTCAAGCTGATACGGAACAGTTCTCACGCGAATGTCCACTCGCAAGACCGACCCCATTTCTGTCCCATTGAGGGCTGTCCTCGTGGAATCGGCGGGAAAGGGTTCAAGCGCAAAAATGAGATGATCCGACATGGCCTGGTTCACAATTCCCCTGGGTATGTGTGCCCGTTCTGTCCCGACCAACAACATAAATACCCACGACCGGACAACCTCCAGCGGTAAGCTTCCCCTAGTTTGGCGTGTGCAACGGTGGTGCCGGTGCTAACGGAATCAGACACGTGCGGGTCCACCATGTGGACAAAAGCAAGGATGACCCCCAGCTGCGGCTAGTCCTATCGCAAAGACCAGAAGGCAGCGCGCGAGGGCGCCGCCGTCGGATCAACGCTTGATTCACTATTTCTATGAAATGCGCATCATACGTATCGACTTCTGCCTGTGAGAAGATGGCTTTCTCACTATTATCGAGAATGACGCGGTCATCTTCACGATGTTTTGCCTTCTTCCCCCCCCCCCCAACAACAACACCTTTTTGATGTACACTGTGCATGCATTATGAATCTCTGCCATATTTCTCATACCATTCTCTTTTTGTGTTGTCCGTTGTTTACTTGTTCGAGATACCAGATGTCTAGAGTTACGAGCCACATTTATCGTTTGTCATTCGTTTCATGTCCGGATATACGCTACGTTTTATGAAGCGTGGGATTGTACAGGAATCAGGATCCGCGGTTGGGCGTCTAGTGAAGGTTTTTTTTATTCTATATCTTTTTTTTTCTCTTCAAAAATCTACTGTGCTTCATTTTCCGTTTCAGAGATGGATCTTTTTTTTTTTTTTTTTTT